GCCCTTAACCATTGGGGGGGGGATGCAGGTTGGTTTAAAACCCCTCCTTTTTGTGCCCCCCCCCCCCCCCCCCACCGCCCCGCCCCGCCCCGCCCCCAAGGTCCTAGGTAGCAAGCTCTCCAATCACTAATTGCGAGGAAACCATGGGACACGATTCAGCCCACACGACGTCAAGAAAAGCAATATTTCAGTTTGCGTATTCTAGCTTGACGTGTAGGGGTGGGCAAGAGAGAGGGACCTTAAGTTCCGCGCAAAGCCGCCCACTGACTGCGTTTTCTTGTGGTTCCGTGCTTTTCGTTGTATTACCATCATGAGACTAGAACCCACCAAAACTCACAGATCGCAGTTATGATAACTTGTTATGTTGTGTGTCTAGGACATCGGTAGAACGCCGGTACACAAGTCATGCTTCCAACAAGGCCCCAGCTACCACAACCTCTTTGCAGTACATATTGGCAACTGAGCTGCACTCGCACCAACGACGCGTGCGCGAAGTACAGATCAGAACAAAAAAGGAAAACAACTCGGGCCTTTTCATGTAGCCAACCACAGCAAGCGCAAAAGTGCGGCTACTACTATCGTTCGCTCCCAACCCTTTTATCCCCCCCCCGAATCATCATTAATTCCCGCTTCCCGCACCATTTATTCCAAACGGGAAACATGTTCGTAACGACTTCGTAAGTTCCAAGTTGAGCACACACACTCCGCAAGAAGCACTCACCGTATATCTTAGCAGGTGAACCGCCACACACACACAGGTACGCCATACCACACGCACTCCAGATTACCCCCCCCCTCCCCCCGCAACCTGTCTCTCGCATGAGACTTTTATGGTGTTCCAAGCGATATCGCGGGAACGTACCAACGCCACCAACATACATGCAGACCCCCGGCCCAAGCAAGCAATCGCACAATTCTTGGTGCAACGCTGCTTGCCGTGGAGAGGGCAATAGGCCCACCCGGGCAACGAGTAGCGTGCGCACGTGCCGGCTGCCGGCTTTGAGACCGTCGCGCAGCGGCGTACATTCCTCGCCCCCGTTCAGGTAACCATCTAAGCAACACACACACGATACACCACCCTACATCACAACGCTTGAAAGCGCTTTGGACTTGTCCCGTATTAGTTTTTCTTCCCTCTCCGCCGCCCCATCTCAACTTGACCCCCACGCTACGCTCTTTGCATGACACCTCACACTGTTGCGGATTTGGGTGGAGATGCCGTTGCCCAAATCATGGAAACATCACTCACAAACCGCACAGACGCGCAATGCCAACACAGGTACACGGTTAGGGGTGATGTAGTAAAATGCATGAAACTTCTCTTCTTCGCCCTCCCCCCCCCCCTCCCCTTCCCCGCCCCCGGCTCCCTCACGACGCACACTCACACGTAACCACCGCACAAAGCATAAGAAAAGAGAAGGCTTGTCTTTGGCCCTCACCTGCAATCGAAGGAAAAAAGCACATCACCCAGCAGCTCACGGAACAACGAGAACGGAACCAACACTATCCGGTTTGCGGCCTCTGCCGGCCATTCCCTTTCTCCACACACCACTGCACAAAACACAAGCCCTCTCATCCTTAACCCAGCTCACGAACGAGGGTATCGTGCCAAAGCGCACTGACTTGTCTATCTCGGACGGAATGGGGGGTGGGGGGGGGAGAGGGAGATAGAGGAGGAGTCAAGAAGCACCAAAATCATCCGCCCTCTTGTCTCTCTCTCTCTCGTGACGCGGTCCTACCTGGAGTTCACCACAATCAAATCGAAATCATCCTCTCGACCCCGCGCCCTTCGTCTCGGACCTTTCTTTTCGTCGGGGGTCTTGTTTTCTTTTCATTCTTTCTACCGCCGCCTGAGCTGTTGCATTCAGGTGCGGCTGGCAGGCCCGAGGCCTCCTTTCCTCACGTCCTGCAGAGAAAACGACGGCCCCTGTCCTCCTTGGCCTGGCCCGGGCCCTTGCCCCTGCCCTCCCGAACGACTCGCTGGTCCGTACATACCACCGCCGCCGCCTCCGCCGCCGCCGTTCCTTGATCCACCGACGCGGGCGGCGCGGCCCCCGCCGCCAACACTGGTGCCGCCGCTGGTACTACCGACGGCGCTGGCGGCACCTCCCGAGAGACTGAGCTGGGAGAGGTCATTGGCGAGCGCACTGGGGTCCTGCTGTAGATAGAAGGGGGGGGGGGGGTCGATGGGTGTCAAAATGCGAAAATTGCGGGCCTCCCAGGCATCGCGGAAAGAGATTTAGGGTCACAAGGTCGAGCGACAAAAGCAGCAACGACTATGCGGACAAACACAAACAGCAACAGTCAATCGTTTTCAAACGACTATATCCGGTTTGTGCCTCTCCATGACTGCTGCTATGTGATTTTTTAAATTCGCTAGACGATGTCGCTCATCGCGAGAGGAGGAAGAGGCACAGGTGTGCTAGCAACAACAACATTCCTCTAGTCAAGACAAATGTTTTCAACAACGCAGTCTGTATGGATAAAAAAAACAAAAAAATTCATGCGAAAAAGCAGGCACGCACCGCGTAAGCAGTGTTGTTCCCGTTGAAGCTCGTGTAAGCCGCCTGCTGCTGCGCGGGGTACTGCTGGAAGCCGAAGCCCTGGTACGGGGCGTACGACTGCTGCGAGTACGGCTGCTGGGCGTACTGCTGCTGCGCGGCCTGCTGCTGCTGCTGCTGCTGCTGCGCCGCCACCTGTTGCTGCGCTTGCTGCTGCGCCGCCTGCTGGTGTTGGTGCGGCTGCTGCGGTTGCTGCGGCTGCGGGAGCTGCTGTCCCGTCCCGGCGGCGGCCGGCGGGGGGAGCCCTGGCTGCTGCTGGCCAGGCTGCGGGTAGGCGCCGCCGTACACGGCGCCCGCGGGGAATAGATTGGCCGGGTACGCTCCGTTGAAGGACGCATACGACTGGGGGTGACCGTACAGGCCGGAGAACGGGGCCCCGCGGGCGGCGGCCGCGGCGGCGGCAGCGGCGGCGGCGGTGGGCGAGGACTGGATGCCGCCCATGCCCATGATGGGGTCGCCGCCGGCTCGCTCGCGCTCTCGGTCGCGGTCCGCACGGCCGGACTTGCCCCAAGAGAGGCGCACGCAGCTGCCGCAGACGGTGGTGCCCTGCATGTTGTTGATGACGTGCTCGGCGCTGGCGCGGTGCGCGAAGGTCACGAAGGCGCAGCCGCGGCCGGGGGGCGTGGTGACCGTCTGGATCTCGCCGGCGGAGTTGAACGTGTCGCGGAGCACCTTCTCGGTGACCGAGTCGTTGATGCCGCCGACGAAGACGGTGGTGTTGCTGGGGTCCGTGGCGTGCGCCCCGGTTTGCCCTGCCATGTCGTCGTCGCGTTGTGCGGGCGGGGCGTGTTCCGTGGGTAACGAACGTGAGGCGACGGCAGCGCAGGGAAACGAAGGGATCCATATTCCGCTGCCGGGTTTCATGATTCATCACATGACACGACTATAGGTAGATAACCTACACGCAGCAGCCGAAGCCTACTACTGCTGTAGAAGTACTTGATCTACACCTGAGTCGGAGAGGACTACCATACACGTCAGTGACAAGACAGCAGTGTCTGGAATAGCGATGCATCTCATGTTCGCAGGTGCGCATTGGGCTGGATCCCGCCGACTGCAGTACATTCCGACGACTAAAAGTTACTGCATCCTTTAGTCGGGATATAATGTTCTTGATTTTCTAGCAACAAGTATGTAGAACGATGGAGCCCGGCACAAAATCAAAGGGTTTGGATGCCAACCATCCGCACCTAGACTAGGATGGATGGATATGCGTACCCTACAGGCGCATGCAAAAACAGTGTTTTGTGTTCCGACAACTCAGCTAAAAATAACTCGCTAAGTATGCAGAAAATAAACGTGTGACGACGTAGGAATGCAATCGTCCAAGACAAACATGCGTATGCGTATGTATGCATAGATATAGATACAAAAAAATTACGGTGTGGAAAATTTGAACGAAAAGCACCAGCATCAGCACAACCATAGTCTTGTGAACAGAGAATCTGTCCCCACTTTCATGGTAGCATACATACCTTTACCGAAAAACACACGTCCGACAAGGAACAATTTTTCATCCGGTCCTGAAGTCTAGAAGGAGAGAGATCAACATCCCTTGCGTTGGCTCGCCACATGCCTGATACGCACACACACATACCTTGAACGCTGGTGCGCTTGGTCGCGGGCGCCACGCGGATCGGGCGGCCGCAGCACTCGGCGCCGTTCATGGCCGTGAGCGCCTCATCCCGCTCCTGCTCGTCCCCGAAGCGGATGAAGCCGAAGCTCTTGGATGATCCGGTCATGGGGTTGGTTACCACCTTGGCGCCGAGGACGGACGTGTACTTGCCGAGGAAGGTGGCCTTGAGCTCGGCGTCTGTCACCTCGGGGGACAGGTCCCCGACGAACACGGAGTACTCGGGAGCCTGCTCTATGCGCTTGCCGCCCGCGCCCCAGTTCAGGCGGTAGCGCAGGGAGGTTCCCTCTGTGGACAAACACACAAAAAGACCATGAACAAATTAAAAGGCAGTCATGTGTATTACATCTGCTGTGTGTCTAGTTCTGTGTGCCTGCTTGATGTGCGTTTGTGGGTCGAAGGGAAGACGGGCAGTTTTTTGGCAAGTGCGTATGTCCACGGATAAGCCGCCTCCGCAGCAGCAGCACACTTGTCATACAAAAAGGCTTGAAATCGAATCCGCATTCGGGTTGATGCTGCATGCAGCAGCAGTGTAGGATTTATGGTCATTATGGAAATGGGCGGGTGACAGACAGGCACCCTATGTGGAGTTTGGAGACGAGAAAGTAATTCCTCATGAAAAAATAATGCTGGTGCTGGTTGAACAGGCCAACTACCGATGCAGGAAAGGTTCTGCCGCCTGTTCCCTGGCTCTACCAGGCTTTATTATGGCCGACTTTCACCCGACTCGTCTACCCAGGATCGTGGAGCATTCGCTGGGGTACAACACGCTACAGCGACACGGCAGCAGGCGTGCCCTTCGACGAGAACCCGATTCATTTCTCCCCCGCCCTGTCCTCTTTTTCTCCGCCAGTACCCCTTTGTCTCACCAATGGGCTTTCCGTTCAACGAATCCAGCACAAGCTGAGCCGTCTCATGGTTTCGGAAGTCGATGAATCCGTAGCCGGCCACGATCCCTCTGTGCCTGTCGCGAATGAGCTTGACCTCCAGCTCTTGTCCTACTACAGGTCACCGGGGAGCGGGAGCGTGGCACGACGCCGAATGTGTAGCAAAGAGGGGGAAGAGAGGGGATGGCATGATGATGGAAACGGAAACATATGAAGGGGTTTTTTTTTTGGGGGGTCTGAGACAACGGCATCTTGCTCGGGGGCGTTGGCGCCGGCGGGTAAAGCCCGCCGCGGATCCACTGCTCTGGAGTGTTCGTTCTTCCGACGCCACACCATCCCCGCACTGGCACCACACACACAAAACGAACTCACCTATACTGCTAAACAAACTCTCGACGTACTCCTCGGTCCAGTCCGGCTGCCACGCGACACGGTTTATGGTACCAAACAGGGGAGAGGACGGGGAAAGCGGCGGGGTTAAACGAAACACACAAACAGGAGGAGCGGGCACAAAAATGACGCATGTTGTGATTACACAAAACGCCGGCCATCGCTGCTGGGGACATAAACGAGGGGCTCTCTTTGCCCGCTGCCGCACCGCCGCCGACAAGCGGAGAATCGGCCCCATATCGCGTATCCTGCGCGTTTATCCGCAAAGGTTTGCTTGTAGTGAGCAACCCAACCAACAAACGGACCGCGACCCTCGCCCTCTCCGGTGTGCTGCTCTCGCTGCCTTACCAGCCACATCCCTTTGAACCACACAACACACAACAACAACGAACTGCAACAGCTTGTGTGCCTTCCCATCCGACCCACCTGGACATCGCCCAACCACAAAGTCTTGGCGGCGGAGCGATTCTCATCCTGGTACTGCTGGTCGTCAGCCATCGTGCGCGCACTTCCCTCCGCGCGCCGGTTCAGTGCAGTGCAGTCCAGCCCCCGTGGCCAGTGAAGGAACGGGCGTTGTTGGTTGTTGGTGGTCCACAGCAAGTACCACAAAGCGAATTCCCTGCCCCTGGCGGTTCGTGTCAGGTCGGGCACACTTCGCTTCCCCAAGGTTCGGTGGCAAGTTGGCGTGTACAGGGTGGGCGAGCGCTCTGCTCTACCTGGTGGAAGGGAAGCTGCCACGGATGTGATGCACTCGGTTGGGCTGAAATGTCGGGGACAACAAAAGTGTTGGTCGCAGCGGCGGTGTGGTTGTGCCAACTAAAATAATTGCTTCTTCCCTCCCTCTCTCTCTCCCCCGCCCCGTCTCTTTTCCCAATAACCCAACAAGTTGCTCAACACGAAGTTTAAGTCTGTATAATCTCCTCGCAGCCAAACGGCTCTATTCTTCATCCACGGTGTTCTCAACGATACTTTTAGGAAGCCAAAGTTCATCCGCCAAGGGAGATCTTTATTTCTGAATATCTTCACGTCTGGGTATTTCTTCGGATATTTACCATGGTTTTCAGAGGGCCCGGTAGATCCGCGGCGTGCCAGGGATGGTTAGGTGGAAACACGTGTCACATAAGCAGGCGGGCGACGTTCAGAGCACACCATGGGAGCTTGTATCCAAGGTACACACAGAGAGAGAATCTTCTAGCAGAAGCTAACGGAGATTTTTGTAAACACACGGAGCGGCCAAAGGAGGCAGGCTATTATTGGGTATTCTCTGTGCCTACAGTACATAAAAAAAAAAACTAATGCAAGCTAATAAAACGAACCCACGCCAGCCACGCGCGTTCTATGTTTGTTTCGAGGATCGCCAAGCAGCGGGCTATTATTGCCCTCTGTTGGTGGTTCGTGGGCTGGTGGCGGCCGTTCCGCCGCCCGCTTTTTTCCACAAGATGTGCCCGTGGCTTTGTACTTGGCTGAGACGCAAAGAAGTCTATTACAATAACCACCGAGAGAACACCTTCGACCATCGGGGCGGTGATGTGTTGCGCCTACGTACGGGTGGTGAGGAAATTGAAATATTTCCATGATGAACGACGCAGCCAGCCAGCCATCATCACCGTCATTCATGGTCTCCTTTGCTTGAAAGATCGTTATTGTATGCGTACAGAATCGTAGTTTGTGTTTGTTGTATTTCCAAATTAATCATCGTCAATGTCGCTCGGTTCCTTCCCGCATATATATGATACAGCCAGCCTACCGATCGATGATGCCCTTGTTCACGAAGGATAGACATGACATTTAGTATGTAGTAGTACGACATGTTGTTGTTCATGTATGATGTACGTCGTACATAAGCATAGCAAACCACCACCAAGAGGGAGCACCGGCCGGACAGAGCTTTCCCACCAGATCCATCAGTCATCAGTCTAGACTATCGATTCACCGTCTAGATCTAATCTAACCTTGGTTGAGGAGATAGATGGACTATGTTCGTTATCTCCTTTTACTGGTGAATAAGGCGTTTGGTTGTTGCGCATATAATATATATGCAGACACACACACGTGTTTGTTGTTGTTGTTGTCTTCACATTATAAACCGTTCCGTTCTCTCTGCCCAGTACCTTCTTGTGTCCGTACCTCCGTACTACCGTACGTGTAGAAGCGAGAAAAGATCCTCCATAGACGTGTATCCAAAGTAGTAGCCGTAACCCTACCGGCGGGTGGCGAGTCGATTGACCACCTCTCTTTTTCATGTTCTTCTTGGGCGGGCAGGTACGTGATATCCGAGGGGGGCGCACCACGTCCGTCCGCCACTGCATCCCACCGAAGTGTCACAAGTTAGAACTGTTTTTGGTGCCGCATAAATGAAGACTTGACACTGGACCGGCCTTTCCACGGCCTTTACTTAGGTGTGTACAGTCCCCGCCTTTTGATCTTTCATGCAGTACCGCTCGCAGGCAAGGTAAAAAAACAGTGGATCCAGGCGTTCTCTTCTCGCATATCATTCAATGTGTTGGGGTTTCAGAGAAACATTGTCCTCCACGAGGCTTTGGTCCCCCAGCGGACGGAATAGTAGCGTCTGTGACCATACACTCCTACAAGCTCCAAGTACTGCGTGTTAAACGTTCTAGAAAGAGGAGTTTTAGATGTAGGTTCGCCCCGCTTGGCAAGAAAACTCACAACACAAGTATAGAAATAACACAGACAGACAGGTAGCAGTATCAACCAAGAACACGTGCCAAATTCTAAATTCTGCATCATCTCAACCGAGACACCCGAAGTAAAACTGTGAGAAAGAGAGGACAGCCAGAACACCATAGAATCCGCCGAAAACCACACGAACGACAACATCAACTTCGACACGATGCGCACAACATATATATGCATGTATACTCTTCATCAGCACTTTCTTAAAGACTCACGAGCTCCTGCCGTTTCAAGCTGCGTTTTTCACAATCAGGAACAACCACAACACAAACACACGACGTCAAATTTCTACGACGAAGAACGACGAGAAATATCGTTAAACTATTAATTTACCACCTACACAGCGACTACATGTATGCATACGACCACTACAGAGCGAGGTGCGTAAAAGCCATTACAGAAACATACAACCACGACGTTCCGCTTTCCTTTTCGGCCGATCTTGACATTTCTCATTCGATTTCATACGCCAACGAATTGCGTAGGACATCGGTCTGTGCCGGCGGGCTACCCTCGTACCCTGGAGCGGGCGGGCCCTGCTCTTGTACACCCCCCCGTGCCACCGCCTCCGTCTCCCGAGGCCCCGCCGCCGCGGCTGCAGCGATGCCTAGAAGGTCGTCGATCTTTCTGGCCACCTCTGTGGCTTTCGTCGGGGTAGGGTTCGATCCCCATTCGTGCTCGGGCGCCTTGACCATCTTCAGCACCAGGTTGTCTTCGGCAGTATCGTGGGAGCACTGAGGGGAACAAACAGAGGGAAGGTGGGGGTAGCGGCTTACATGTGAATGAAAGGTAGGAACGCATGCAGTTTGGAACACTCCCGGCACCGCGGGAAGTCGAGAGGCGTCGGGCGGATAGTGGATGATTCCTTCGCCACGTTGGGAACTTCCACCACGTAGTCTATACGGGTCTTTACTACTGTAGTCCTGAATCCAACAATTGTAGGTAGGGGGAGCGGAAGTCTTTTCCCACCAAATCCAGACATCCCACGCGGACGCCAATGTGAATGGAGGAAATCGTCGTCAACAGGCGTTGGGGAGATGATGCCGTTTTTCGAGCTCATCTCCACATGTACATGCCGTTGTTGTGGCTTTTTTCAAGCGTTCTTCTTGTCGTTTCCTTGTGGCCAACAGAGTCGCTCCGCACATTCACCAGCCAAGTACCCAAGAGTTACATGTGTGAAGACATGACACAAGAGTCGCTGGGTGTACGTTGTACGCTGCAGGCTGTTCGGCGGCGGTACCGATGACCGCTTCCGCACAGTAGGAAGCACGGTATGGCAGTACGTGCGAAGAGGGCATCTGTTTACGCATCCACACGTGAGGGCGCTCTTCTTTCCACGTATCGTCTTAACGACAAACACCTAACGCGAGACTTGACCACGTGCCGTGCACGGCAAATCGAAAAGCCACCTTAAAGAAACCGCAGCGTGATTTTTCTTCCACCGGTGATTGATACAATGCCCCTGCCCCGCTGCGGACGACGGCAGGAGCACGACCCAGTGCCGCTGCTGGTTGTGGACGGATCTATACTAGATAGGGGGGAGTAATGAGCCGCAAGTGACGAGTCAATACCTTGTAGTAGTCTATCTGCGATGCTGTGCAAGGTGTGAGACACTCTGCGTGGAAGTTTGTTGAAAATATGTTACTCCAAATATATCAACAGCGGAGGAACATGCTCGCCTCGCAACACAACAGCAGTACCTCCGAGCTGGTACCTCCAACAATCGGCACCTAACAGCAGCACTGACACAGACACAAATGAACATAGGCATTGCACAGCTTACACAAATGCACTTGTAGTGCTGCTGCTTTGCTGTAATGGCAATGACTCCCATCTCTCATACTTAATTCTATTCGGCAGTGCATGCATGCGGGAAAAACGCCATGGATGGCGCTGGGCACCAACAAGGCTCTCTGCTTTTTTGCCCCTTGGACAGCAGCAGTTTTGTTTCCGGGCGACCCCCCTCCTGACACACGAAAGTAACACGGTTAACAAATGCATCCGCCACGAGCTGTGTCCATGGTCCGCTTGTGTGGAGACTAACACCGACGAGGAGGCTGTCGCACGCTCAGAAACGCGAGCGTTTGGCACAGCCTGCAAAAAAAAACGGCGAGTCTGTCTCTGCTGGGATCATCAGAGTTCGTTCGTAGCTTTTTTGACCCGGGCGCAAAGGTTTCGTTTTCCCATGATCCCTCTCCCCACACGCCAAAGCAACAGCAGTGGCGATGATATCCCCCACGACCTGTGTGGCTTCCTTCCCTCGCCAATGCGGTCTTGCACCCCGAGCGGTGTTGCGTGTATAGCTTACTGAGTGCTTCCTCTGTGTCCCCTGGCGGGTTGGAAATCGAGCAACTAACTGCTGTGTGTGGGGGGGAGATATCCGCCTTTGTGTTCCTTTACCTCTCGTCCAACTCCCCGGGACGTTTCGATGATGTTGGTAACAAATGCGTGTCAAGCACGGCCATCTGTTGTCAAAGCGCGATGAAGCCGTTTTGACGGAGAGTGCCCTAATTAGATTCCTCCTCACAACCCGGCACATCGTAAATCGGTGCTCTATAGACCTTGTTCTCTTCAAATAAAGGGATAATATTGTTACGTACGATTCCCCGGGGGGTTTTGCGGAAGGGTCGCTCTACAGCGCGATGGTTGAAAGATCCCGATATTTAGAGCCTTTTTTTCCCTCCTGGGGATGAAGGGAAAAAATGTCGCGCTTCGCGCTCCGCGGCTCATTACTTTTTTTTAATCCTCTGCTATCCCTAGTCGTTGGAACATGCACCTCGCATCCCTGCAATGCCGGGACGGAGCGAGATTCAGGCTTTTCGCCGGCCAAGGCAATGTTTCACAAGGATGTATCATATGCAGGAACCAAACCGAACATGCCATGTGTTGATCGGCCATCCCGGCTAACCGAGCGCTTCACGTTCGGTAGGCACGACTATTCTTCAAGTACCGCAAGGGACTTCAATCTTTGCCCACCAGCACACAACAGGCGCGCCACACACTGCGAACACGTCGCTTCGTGTGTGATACACTTGGAGCATAATCATTTTAGACTGTGTGATCCATGCACAACAATATGGTCCAGCACAGCTTACACAAATGCACTTGTAGTGCTGCTGCTTTGCTGTAATGGCAATGACTCCCATCTCTCATACTTAATTCTATTCGGCAGTGCATGCATGCGGGAAAAACGCCATGGATGGCGCTGGGCACCAACAAGGCTCTCTGCTTTTTTGCCCCTTGGACAGCAGCAGTTTTGTTTCCGGGCGACCCCCCTCCTGACACACGAAAGTAACACGGTTAACAAATGCATCCGCCACGAGCTGTGTCCATGGTCCGCTTGTGTGGAGACTAACACCGACGAGGAGGCTGTCGTACGCTCAGAAACGCGAGCGTTTGGCACAGCCTGCAAAAAAAAACGCCGAGTCTGTCTCTGCTGGGATCATCAGAGTTCGTTCGTAGCTTTTTTGACCCGGGCGCAAAGGTTTCGTTTTCCCATGATCCCTCTCCCCACACGCCAAAGCAACAGCAGTGGCGATGATATCCCCCACGAGCACCAAGGTACACTTTTCTCGGGGTAGGGGTGATTGTCCGGAAATCGAAAGGCACCGTCAAATGCCCTGTCTCCAGGCGCAACTTTCTAAGGAAGACTTCTTGTACGGAAAATAGTTTTTACCCGAGAAAAACTGGGATATTTTTCATCGTTTCGTTGAGGCGGAGGCACTTTATCGTGCGCGAATATCTCTCAACAGATTTGGTCAGCTCTCGGAGTGTGCCCGGGGTATTGTTTTCCGAATATAACATTCGAAAAACTGAGCGAGATGCTGACCAAAACCTGGATCTGGAAGCACATTCTCCATCGGCTCGTTCGGGAAATGCAACCATAGGAATGAAAAAACAAAATGCGGCCAAAGATTCCTCTCGCCAATCCCCCGGGGTGGTGCTTGATGAAGGGGTGATGTTTTGGCCTTTGCGAAAATGTCACCGGGTGTCGTATTCTGTAGGGGGTGTGATATCCAGGGGTGTGATATCACTACCGCACAATTGCAGAGACCGAAGTTGTGTGGAAACTAGGGCCTGTGTTAGCACCGCCTGCAAATAACTACCTACCGTGCCAGCGGCCACACATGCAGGGGTCGAGGTATTGCGGGGGTACTGTAGCACTGCATGCAAAGAACCAACGCACATGGTGGGGGGATAAGGGGGATAAAACAAACTTTATTAATATACTAATATTTAGAACCGTTGGCTCAGCCGTTTCGCGTGCTAGTTCCGGGCTCACCTTGTTCGCGGCTACCCCTCCCGCCAAGACCAACTCCGTCCTGTAGCGATCCACCCGCGCGTCTCCACCGTCGGACTGCCCCGGGGTCTCTGCGTCGAACGACAGCACCATCCTGTTCTCGGCGAAACCGTAGTAGACGGAGGCGTCCACGATGTTTGGCACGTCCACGACACCGCATACTGTCTGAGGAGCGAGGGGGGGGCAGGACGAAATGGGAAGAGGGGAGAGATGCTTGCCTCATCCATTTTATCACTGGCCGTGCATCATTCGAATATTGAGAGACGGAGTTTCCCTGCGAATGGCTTGCCCAAGATAGCGATGCGCTCACCACCGGAGTTCCGCCAAAAATAACACTTGTGGCTTCTTCTCCTGCCAACCCCAACACAACGGCCATTATGCAGGTGGTGGGTTTTGACCCATCTCCACGCTTCAACTACACCAACACATTTATCATTTCCACCTCAACGTTCTCATTCCCACGCCCTTCACTTCACGATTATCAGCATCTTTCACCCACACCGCCATATCAGGTTTTCCCATCGAGTGCTGTGCTGCGCAAACGCGCGCACCTTGATGTTCTCGTTCCACGAGATGGGGGGAACCTTCTTACGGGAATCGTCGCGGTAGTACCCGCAGCCCTGCGGTACACGGAGAGAATCCAGCCCGGTCCCAGCCCACACCGGCAGGCGGCGGACGCGGTAAATTCGGTCGTCGCAAGCAGAGGAAAACACAAACGAGACACGGGCGCAGGTTACAAAAAGAAGGGGGGCACGCAGGCGAGTAAGGGCGGGTTGGGCGGCGGCGTGGCGGAGGTTATGGAGCAAACAACGCCGCGTGTGCATCCTTAGGTTCATCTCCCGTTGCCGCGGACTTCGATTCGAATGGGAGAGGAAGAGGGCCAGGGTGGCGTTATCGAGGGAAAGCAAGCTGATGCGCTTGTCTATCAGTTGGAGGCACGTACAGTACAGTTATCGAGGGAAAGCGAGCTGGTGAGCTTGTCGAACAGTTGAAGGTATGTACTGCAAGAAATATTCCACGTGGCCCCGTGACCGAAGGTGGCCAGCAAGGCCGTACGGTAAGTGAACACATGCACGAGATGGCACAACAAAAGATTGCATGAAAAAAACACGGGCAGCACCGACACCAAAATCTATACACAAATTCAAATACCTACAGGGGAGGTAGGACAACACCCACTACCGCAATCGCCTGTGTGTGCTCGGCAGGAAAATACGAAAAAACCATGTCTTATCCTTCAAGCGCGGACACATACGAGACAAGCACATATCCCTTTGAGAGCGCGAAAAAAAAATGCTAAGTACGCAGGTTCGTCTGGCGGGGCAGTACCAGCACAAGGAAGTGTGCGTGTTTTCGAGTCATGCACCTCTCCAGGCGTGCAGCGCGCACCTTGGCTCCAGTCTTAAACTCGTAGCCGTCCACCTTCCTGATGAAGCGCTCGGACTGGATGAAAAGTTTGTCCTTATCCTCTGCGAGCTGTGCTTCCAGGTCTGATGGACAGGACCAAGCCAACGACGTTTGACGGGGGGGGGGGGGGGGGGGGGGGGGGCCCCGGGACCCCAAACGTGGGCGGGGGTCTACTCATCGTCTGGTTTCTTGTCTTGATCAGAAACAAACCTTAGAACCACCAACTTCTTGCTTGGGCCCAAGCGACGCTCCGATTCCTTCGACTATCGTACACATGTAAGATTGAGTGGTGGGCATATTCGCGGAATTGTCGTGCTCTCGTAAACATTGGTATCCACATGGTTTCTTCACGTGAGATGCCATCTTCTGCATGCGTCTCCTTTTCGAGGCAGTGTTTGCACTCGTCTTGATTCTGTTGCACCCCGAGAGCACATCTAGGGACAAAACGAACGGTTACACGCTTACCGTTCTCCTCCTGTTCCTCCTTCTGTTGCTGCCGCCGCCGTTGCTGCTGCTTCTCGGCCTCCTCCTCGTGCTGCTGCTGCTCAGCCTCCCCGTGCTGCTGCTGCTGCTGTTGCTCTTCTTTCTTCTCCTCCTGCTGCTGCTGTTGCTGTTGCTCCTCCCCCTCTTGCTGCTGCTGTTCCTGCTGCTGCTCCGTCTCCTTCCCCTCCTTCTCTTGCTGCCCCTGCTCCTGCCCCTGCTCCTGCTGCTGCTCCTGCTGCCCCTCCTTCTCCTCCTCCTCCTCCTCCTCCTCCTCGTGTTGCTGCTGTGAAACGACCCCCGGCGTTTCCGCAGCACCGGGGGGCAGCGGCGGCGCCGGCTGCGGCGGCAGCGGGGGGGTCGGCAGCAGCGAGCGCGCATCCCCTTGCTCCTCCGGTGGCGCTGGCAACGCCTCCCAAGGCTTCTGCAGCACCTCACTCTGCGGGGCCTCCTCGACCCATCGGGAGTGGTCCGGCTTGCGCTTCGGTGGGCAAGCGAGGGCGGTGATTTGGGGTACAAAAATTCAGGGTGAGATGCGAGATCAAGGTGCAGCCCCTTCCGAGCGTCGAGGCACAACCACGGTCAAAGATCCTAGGAACGATCCTAGGAACGATCGGGCAGCCGTGGCGTCTATGACGTCACGTCGCCTAAACCATGGGTTCCGCAGCCGACCACGCTATTAGGCATTGGTAATCGGCCACCTCGGGGGGGGTCCACGCAGACTTCGCACCAAAAGTTCGGGGTCGGTGGTGGGGGTGGGTGGCTGGCGTTATTAGTGGTGTCTCGAGGCGTCGTTGAAAGAGTTGTGGGCATAGACCACTGTGCTCGGCGTGTTGCCTGTGTGCGTTCGCCGGTCGGTTCCGAAAACTCGTCTTTGGGCGTTCACTCACAAGTTAAATCGAACCGTCACACGAAACTCGTTTACACCCTTAGCCGGAGCCTGCACGCAGTCCGCGTCAGACGTACAGACGTCGTCGGCTGTCGTAGGATTCCCACAACAACACGCGCTCTTCTAGATACTTGATTGAGGTTTGGTCGGTGGTTAGGGAGGGGAACACGGGGGGCGGGTGGCGGGCGTAGTGCCTGTAGTGATGGGGCGCAAACCACTTCACCCCCCCCCCTTCAGACGTGCAGTTGGGCCACTTTGTGTCTCGATACTCGGCTTCGCCCAAGAGATATAACAGGCTAAACGACAGACGGATATTGCTTGTGCTAAGAGTGGTCAGATGGACCTCCAATACGTTGGATGGCACACACACAAGTCAGTTCTCGCCAGCAAATGTCAACAGGTACCGCGTGGGTGGCGAAAATCGTGCCGTCAAAAGTGCCCCAGGGGCATTGGGAGGGGGGTATCCATCGTAAACAATGCGGCGAAATGCAAGGTCTTACATCGGACGCGAGGCTGAAGAGGAACGTCGTACACGGCCAAAACGACACTGGCTGTTGGTTGCCATTCAACTTTGCATTGAGTGACTTGTGCAATCAACGACGAAGACGCTGAGGGATTCAAAACCATCACCGCCATAAAAAAAAAAGCACATCCTCATCAAAGACGGCCACGCTTAAGTTGAAAAAGCGTGCCTACCTGCTGAGTCGTGTCAGGGGATGCACTCGTCTGTTCGGCCTTGCTTGTGGTGATGTCGTGCTTCAACTCCTCGTCGGGGAGGGTTTCCTAAAAACGCGGGTTTGGGTGGGGCGGGGGCGGTTGCTTAATTATTACCACCGGACTCGGAAGTGTGGAGTGCGCTTTAATGAGCCCACAAAATGGAGCCCAAGCAGCCCGGTCTTGGACACACCTAGAGTAGGACAGCACTTATTCTGCGAATGAAACCACACAACTTGGGAAGGCGGCAATCGGAAAAGACATGCCGACGACGATGGCAGCGACAGGACACAGTACGAGCAAGACGCCTACCGTCCAACCGAAGGTGTAACGCAAGCGCACTAGCTCCCGCCTCGCCACCACTCGGCAACAACAGGCTATACCGGAACCTCCTAGGGCTGCACAAATAACACGTCAAGGGTGCGACCACAGCCGATTGATCGCAACACCCGTACCGTGCCGTACAACCCGTGGAAGAAAGACACGCACGACGACTACCCAACGGGTTACGGTCGATTTTGTCGTCTCAACCAAAAAAAAAAAACTTCGATCGAGAGACCGCAGCAGCAGCAACAACAACAACAACAACAACAACACTGCTGGTGTCTGACCGACAACAACTTGTGACCCAAACGTGTACACTCACTACCACCGGAGACACACGACCCCGCTATCCGCGTTGTTTTCGTCCGACGGCCCCCACCACCTCTTCTAGTGCCCCGTCCCCTCGACGTATTCACGTAGGGCCGAAAGCACCACCAAACCCTCACGTCCGTTCACAAATGTTAAAATTGATGTCTCTCGCGGAACGCAGCAACAAACCCCACCCTCCAATCGGCCGAGCGCCAGATACGACAGAGAAGAAAACGAGAAAGACACGTCCAGGTTTTTTATTGAGGTATTGCTAGTTCGCGCACACGATGGTACACACAGCACCACACCCGACGTCCAGCCAAACCCGCAGCGAGATTTGGTCCAGAGGCACAAAGGACAAATCAAAAACACCGAGCAGAAAAAAAAACAAGCATCACCCCACGTCGTTAATTGGTCGAGAACGGCCTGTCACAAAAAAAAAAGACGCTAAAAAAGAAAAGAGAGTCTCAACCAACTCACCTTAAAACCAATTCCAACACACCTTAAACCAACTCCGACACGTCTAGGCGGTATAGCTTGCACACGCGCGGCTAACCCCGGCAGCAAACAACGCCGTCTCTGAATTTTCTCTGTGTGTGTACTCGTAGCCATGCATGCCGTAGTAGTCGTTAGACCATTGACCTCGCATCCCTACAAAGCCGGGACTGAGGACGCCGGGTTTTCACAGGACCAGGTCAACATAGCATATCACCAGGCGCGAAGTGCCGTGAGGTATTTGGGGGGGGATTTCTACCCGCTGTCCCCCGGATTACACCTTGGAACAGATGTCCAAAGATCTTGAGAGTGCTGCCTACGCGCACCTTCTATAGGCTCCTCCTCCCACAAGGGAAGCCTTTGACGCTCCAAAAAAATAGTAAACACATCGTTCGCGTCTTATCTCCCAATAAAGGACTGACGCCTTTTCATTGGTCAGCTTAGCGTGGCCGATGCCAATTTGGAGAAACGCACACACACACACACACTGCCTGCCTTCAATTCGGATAGTCACCTAGCCTCCCCAATGACGCTCCTTCCCCGGACCCCCCAGACCATGGCCTTTAAGAACGTTTTTTTGTTTTCAGCGGCTTGAGACTGACGTATTTTCATTGGTCAGCCGGTTGGCGCGGTTGATGCTAATGACAAAAGACGCACACACGCACACGCGGCGGAGGATTTTGCCACAAAACACCACCGCACAAACCCCGACCACAGGGGTAAGAGTCAAGCACACGCATACAAAAAGCTAGGAAGCCGGCGAAAAGCTTTGTGGCAATGTTTGCGTGGGTCACACACACACGCACTCACACCAAGACGGGGTAGCAAATATGAAACACCAAGCACCAAGACAAGGCGCACCAACATATTCAAAGTCTGAATGCATCGGAAGAATCAAGAGTCCAAGACAGCGAGGACTGTCGGGGGGCGGAGGCGGCGGTGGCGGCGGCAACGGCAGTGATCGCCGAGTAGACGCCGCAACGCACTCTCGGAACTCAAGAAAGGGAAAGAGAGGGCATCGGAAAGATCGACCTAAAATACAAACAACAAAACCCAGCAACGTGATCATCATACAAGGCAAAAAGAGCGCGGTGTACTTATGGAACACACGACACGGCTGCCACACGCGCCACTGCCCGCGACGAGCTGCTCTTCGAGATCACCCGTCGACTCGCTTGCACAACAGGGTATGTAAGCGAGAGGAAACCGTCTCCACGAACGGGAGCGCCAAAGCACCACGCCCCAAAACTCAACACAAGCGAACATTCCGTTTGGACAGCGAATAGCCCGTGAGCCACCTCCCCCTCGCTACATATCCCCACCGCCTGGCTACTGCTGTAGTGCGCAACTTTTCCCAACGTCGCCTTCCCCTACATTTCTCCTTTGGCAAAACGTAGGCATCTAAAGGAATACGACGCTGACATTTTTTCAACTAGTGTTTCAAGGCCGTTAAAGGCCGTTATAGTACCTTGTGCTCCTCATAATCGTCATCGATATCGGTGGCAGCGGCGGCACCACCCCCGCCTCCATCACTGCAACCCCCCGCCGCAGCCGCCGCCGCCGGTGGTGGTGGTGGCACGGTTAACGGCGGTGCAGCGGGTTGCTTGACCGGCATCGTGATCTTGAGCAGGCCCGACTTGTCGCGGGCAGCCGAGCACTTGGACTCGTCTTCCACGTCGTACGGCAGCGGCAGGTCGAGGTATCTGGCAATTAATACAGCAGAGTAAATAAAAAAAATTAAAAAAATACGTCGTCATCACACGGACAGGCAAATAGTCACTCGCCAGTGGCGCGTCGAGGCATCTAACAATGACAAACACAAAACAAGTCTAGTAACACACACGTTGTCGGTGTAGGCACACAGGAGGTGGGGAAGGCCAGAGTTAAATTTCCTGAACTTTTCCTCTTGACATCAGCACGACATTGAGTGGAATCTTCCCCCGGTTGGTCTCAACGTTGCCAAAGAAAATATGGCACCCGTGTTTGTGGTGTAGGAAACATAGATGCAGCTAAATTGTTAATAGCCGCCAGCCATCATTTAGTAGTACCGGGTGTAACTGTACATGGCAAAGAGACGTTGAATCAATCAACACAGGGATAAATCAGACAAAAAACAAAAAAAGAACACATGTCGCGTGCATGCAGCGATCACCAACACCACGCGCGACAAGCGTGAGCTTCCCACGGGTGCAAGCGGGTTCGACAAGCTCGCTCACCCGCAAAGAAAAGAAAGATATAATAATAATAATAATAATAATAATAATAATAATAATAATAATAATAATAATAATAATAATAATAATACACTTGTGCGCGATACTGCGATATGAGGCGACACCAGAGTTTCATCGCTCCGAATGAATACCTATCGATTTTCTCGTCAATTACACTTGTAGTTCAAACCCGAGCCACCTTCAGCCGCAAATAAAACCCTTAGCCAGTACGCAAGGGTCGCAGCGGAGGGGCACCAGTCAAGCTTCGTGTGCGAGTCTTTGAAGAATGTAATATCCAATCCAGCAGTGAGACTACCGTTTCCAGATATTACGTCCCCAAAACCGAAAATTGAAAAATACCAAAAAACAAAAATACCCAAAACAAAACACACCCAACACTTCCATAGTCAGCCTGCACACATTTGGTCGAGAGAGCATAAATACTTTTATTTGCCATAAACGTAGGCATGTGTTCAAATCTTCCCAGTAGTGAGTGGTACACAAAAAACCTGCTGGTCACTGGGCTCATCTTGAGTCTGTTTAAACCTACAAATATAATTAGGATCACATCAGTGCCAGTCGGCACGAAAAAAAAAACTTCAAGCCGTGGAGGTCACGCGTCCACACCTGGGCGAGCTTCCCTCTGGGTCGCTGAGGACTCCGATGGTCAGTCTCCTCACGGCCACCACCACGTCCAGCTTGCGCGTCGGCCCCTGCAGGCGGACGAAGACGGAGGCACGGCAGACAGGAAGGCGGGTACAACGGCCCGTCCGTGACACGGGAGGGCGAGAGCCCCGACCAATCAGAAACAAACGCATGTAGCGTGGCATGTCTGTCGTCGTTGACCAACCAGCAGAACAAACGAAAAAAGGATGACAACAGTAGTTCTGACATCCTTCACCAATCAGAACCGACAACATAGCACGGCATTTCTGTCGTCGTTGGTCCACTATCAACAACTAGCAGTTGCACGGGATGCTCTAGTAACGCTGTACGTAGGCGTTTGGGGTTCCGGCTGGTATCACCGACTGCTCAGTGTAAAACGTAAAAAAACAGACTCAAACAAGTCCCGTATCATCAGCAGGTGACCCTCTCTCTGCGCAAGGCTTCAGCACACCCCTCCGAACGGGCTATTTTCTCGAAAGCCTTTCGTTCATGTGTTACGACTATTCTCTGAAAAGCACAAAACACACACGGTCGCACCATGGCCGCACGAAACGGACGGGAAAAAGTCGGCAAAAGGTGGGCTCCGCAAAGGGGGAGAACTGGCTGCTACGCCGTTGGCACCGCCACGTCGTGCCGGTGCAACCGAGGCCGGGCTATTTTATTTTATTTTATTTTATTTTTTTAACGGCGGGTTACGTCTCTCCATAATGTTGGGAGGAAAGACGCGGTCCGTCTCGGTTCCACGTAGAGTTTGTTAACACCAACAACTGCTGCGTCAGGCGCGAACAGGTCGAAATAAAACAAACAGCGACTCCACATACCCGCAACAATGTTGCCCAATAGACGCTCCTGGCAACACAGCAGGCGCGCAATACCTGCTTCACAAGACAGGGGTTCGATGCAAGGGCATAATGTGCCCTCTCCAGACATCATACCCTTGGCCATGAAACCACCCGCCACAACCACAAGCAATACACAGGAGCTCCGCTGCGGTGCCTACCCCCCCCCCCCCCCCCCCCTTAATTTCGAAGAAACAAATCTCACCGCATCCGCGGGGAGAGTGACCGTCACGACCAGCGTGCGCGGCGTCGGTGTCTGCCTGACTCTGTCGGTCGTGTGGTCCGAGATCTCGAAAGCCCCGCTCTCGACGAGCTTGTACGTCGCGCCCCCGGAACCTCTCCTAAGCCCCGGCGCTAGCTGCTCCGCGGGCGTGCTTTGCTCCTTCTCCGCCGGGGCAGAGGCAGGGGACGGGGATTCACCGTCCCCTGCTTTCTTAGGCTCCGCTGCTGCGCCAGCGGACCGCAGAGCCGCGCCATTGTCATCGGCGACGGCGGAGGTTTGAGGCCGATTTGCCTTCGATTTGATTTCTTTCCCCGCGTCTCTCTGAGAGGTCTGTTATTGTTGTGGGAGCGGCGGTGTGGGGATGGGGTGGGTTCCAGAGAGATGTGTGTTTGTATCGAGGGGTCCTCCAAAAGGTGAGCACCCACCCCTGTACTGCATAGATACTCTGGTCGAGAGGGGGGGGGAGGCGGGGGGTACGGGCCTAAATGCCCCTCGGGGATGAATAAGTTGAGGTTTCATACAACTTCCGGGGAAAAGGAGGACGTGTCCGGGAAACTGGGGGGACACGAGGTCCTCATCCCCGGGATTAACAACAAAATTGCGTTCATTTGCGCGCGTTGCTGGATATTGGAGAGGGGGCGTCAAGAGGGTACAGTAGTGACCACCGTTTAATGCCGGTTGCCCGCTATAATGCCGGTGATATCGGCTGGATCGCACGGGCTGTATCGTGTTTGTCATCGCCGTTGTTGTTGCCTCCACGCACAGGGAAAATCGTTGTGACCCTTACAAAGTACCTCCAACTACTAAGACCAATGGCTTGCTGCGGTCGCAAGCTAGTCGGTGCGTTCGTTCTGCAAAGTGCTTCCCTAAACTGGACATATTTTCTGGGCCTAGGGGGGAGGGGGTAGAGGGGCCCAACAATTTCTACACGGTTTGCATGGTGGATTGCAACCACAGAAATCCACTCCCCACCTTGATCTGAACGGAACAAAAAGAACAAGACACAAGAAAATCGAGAAGAATAAAAATACGTTTGAGAAAAACAAAAGAAGGAAACCAACCTTTGCGGAGAGAGTGCACCCACCTTGGCTTCTGCTGATGCTGCTGCCGCCGCCACAGGAGGGGCGATCGGTTGGCTATCCGTAGCGCGGTTGATGTCGGCTTTGGCTACCATCATCACTGCGCACGGCCCACTCTTGTACTTGACACCCTTCAGGATTCGGTACTCTACCACGAGTAGCGATGGGTGGGCGGGGGAAGCAGCCGCGGGGGGGCGGGCGAGGTGCACGGGTGTCAGCAACGTGTGGGGGGGGGGGGCGAGCGAAGAGGGGGAGAGCGGTGCCATTGATCTCGCCAACCTTGCTTGTACTCGGCACGCGTACGTAGCGAGCGAATGGTGCCGCACGTCTGCCCGGCTGGGGACGCTCGTTGGACCAATCAAAATCGTACCAGCGTCCTCGTGTATTCACGTCCGAACGCTTTCGCGAGAATTATATTTTGAAGCTATGAAATAGAGAGGGGGGGGTTCGTATCCCTATCCCTAACTCTAACTCCCAACCCCATGCATATGTACCAAGTCGACGTTTTCTTGTGGTGTCGTTCTTTTTCTCTGGCGCGACAGCGTTTTTTCTCACACTTTCTTCTGCATGGCACTCAGACGGTACATGCATTGCCCGTTGCGTGTGGGGCTCGCTAGGCAGCGGTGGTGCGCGTGATGGCCGCCGAAAAGTCGCTGGCACTGGCTCTATTTCAGGGATCGCGATTCCGAACCAAAAAAGCCTCCATAAAACCGGAACCATTTTTTTTTTTTATGTAGGCGGGCTGTGGTTCTTTTCTTACACATCACGGCCACAGCCCCAGCAGTTACTGTAGTAGTAGACATCCACACAGGAACACGGTGCAAACAAAAGGAAAGTAGGGGTGTGTGGTAGAGCAGCAATACTGTAATTGTAAAACGCGCAAGCGCGGCTCTCCCACACAGGCACACAGGTGATGGGTACTGTGTCTGCTGTGGTGCATCACAACAGTGCAACAACAGTTATATAAAAAATCAGAACAGTAGTTAGTTCGGGAAGGCCGTATTTCTCGCAGTTCACACACATCACGTTCACCCGTTGTATGCATAGACGCCCACACAACGCGGTGCAAACTCAACACGGTGCAAACACAAGATTCAGCAGTAGTGTTATGGTACAGCAGCATTCGCACTGCACACATAGCTAAACGCGGCTATCGCAGGCCACACAGACAGAAGATGTGCATACAATGTTCTAAAAAAAAACATAACAATTATTGGCGGGGTATTTTTCGACGCGGTTTCGAACCTCGGCAACGACATTTATTTTTTGTTTTGTTGAATTTTTTTGCTGGACCCTTCTTACATAGTAGTGTTAAAACACTGCGGCTTTCTCCCTCACGTTCATTACAATACGTACAATAGATCGATTGTTATGCTATGTATTTTTTGCATCTACATTTTTGCGAATATTTCCGTAACGTTCTGAGAGTGAGAAGAGACAGAATGTGCATTGCCCCGAACGTGTTATATTTTAGTCAATGCCCGATGATAGCGATTGTCTGGCCTCCAAAGAAAAAAGACGGCACAGCAGTTCAGGTGTTTTTTAGGTCTTTTGGTCTTGCGTCACTACCGGGAGGCATTCTCCAACATCCCGGCACGGGAAACCTTGTATCCCCTACTTTGCATAAAACCACGCTAAGTCCTCGCTAGGCTACTGTCCGTTCACATGCACTGCTGAGCACGTTTTTCACTGCTTTGCCAGCAGCGGTGCGAGGCCAATAGCTTTCGGCGTAGGAACCGCCAAACCAGTGGCATACCGCCGTGGCGCGGTCATGACCAACTCGCTCCAGGTCCCATGGCTAGCAGCAGCCTCCTCTAACGGGGATCCACGATAATTGATCGATCGGTGGGATGATTCCACCTCAAGAGGAGGGACGTGCCGACTACGGTGAGACAGAGCGCTCTTGAGTGCCGAGCCATTGGGGACAACCACAATCGCAAAGACCACGACAACAACAAACAACAACAACAACAACAACAACAACAACAACAACAACAACAGTAAGAAATACAAGGGTGGCGGGCGCGGGGGGTCATAGCCCCCCACGTCCTCCGTTTGTCCTTGAAGAGTGGATACGAAAGGGTATGTGAGAGAGGGCAGGAGTTGTAGGCGTAAAACGCATACCAAGTGGGAGGCTCTTGAGCTGGTGTACAGAAGAAAAAACAACGATTATAGACGAAGCTTCGAGTCGGAAAGCGCTGACATTTTTAGCAAAGCGTCGAGTCCGGGCGCCCACATTCATACGATATCGCGAGTACGTGTGCCACAGCCTGTCGGTGTTGCAGTTAGCTATGGCCGTAGGGCTCTAGCACAGCAGTAGTACAATAGTCATATGTTTCGCACTCACACCGTGTCCCCCAGGAATATGTATACGAAGAGAGACTATGTTGTTCCGACAGCCAGACACATTACTCCGAAAATTCCGTCGGGGAATTGAGCGTGGCGTATCGGAAATTGCCGTCCGGCCATCGGACAGAATTGGGCGCCATCGGGGAATTGCGTATCGAAAATTGCCGACGGGCCATCGGGGAATTCGGCAAACTCGGCAGGACCCCAGCAGCAGCAATTTCGCCGGCAGCACCATAGCAAACTTGAACTACACGGCATGGCTAAAGCGCTCATGTAACAACGATTACTGCATGTATGAAAGGTACACAGTAATGTTGCAGTCCACAACAACGTTGGTACCACACACCAGACCCCATGCCTCAAGTTCCGGTTTGCATGCACAAACCAGAACAGCATTGTCAAAGAGGTTGTCCAATGAGGCTCGCCCGAAGAGGTCAGAGGGCAGATGCAGGTGCGAACGAGTCGTTTGCAACGGTTTATACGGCGAGGGCAGGTTGCCCGACGCTCTGCGCCCGGGGCTTCGCGGAGAGATGGGTCCCGCGGGCTCCGCGAAAGAGGGAGGTCTAACGGCGTCCGCTCGGGCGCTGGACGTGCTCGTGAAGTTATCGTGTCGATTTATCGTGTCGTTCTCAGAGTTGGTACAATTCTGCAGCCGCGCCGTGAGGCGTCGCGCTGAGGCCTCAGGGCCGAAGTTGAGCCAGAGCAAAGTTCCCTACCTGTATTTATTCTTGTTGGAAAAAATAAACATATTTTCATAGTAATAAAAAAGAAAAAACAATTACACCAGACCACTACCACTAACAACAACGACAGCAGTAGCAGCATCTTCTCACTCTTGTCCACCGTGATTTTCTCCTTGGTGCCCCGCAGAAAGGCGTCCTCCACCCTCTCCAGCGACGATAGCACCACCAGGTCGCGGAAGGCGCTCAGCCGATCGGCTCGCACCAGGGCTTCCGGATGGTAGCAAACATCGAACGTCGTCGTGCTACCGCCGCCTGTTAAGGGTCCCAAGACAAGGAAAGCACCAACCAATCCAGGACAATACGAGAAGACAAGGAAATGTGCCGGGGACCGTCATAAAGAAGCCATCAGAACCCGCGGCAGAGAAGATAATGGGAAGGGAAGACGAGGGGTGCAATGACAGGAAACAAGATTGGGGGGGGGCAGTGGGGCCAGGGGGGGGGGGCAAACGGTTGAGAACACTCTCACTGCTTGTGCACGAAAATGCGAACGAGGCCCGTCTGTGCTTGGCAAAGGTTGAGGTTGGTTACAGCCAAAGCCAGCAGCAACCACGAACCGGCTAACACCAATACCCTGGCGGTCGCTAACAACGGTTGCATGTATCGCAGCTTGCTCGGGTATACTACCTGCTCGGGCGCTACCCATAAAAACCTCTCCGCCCCCCTTCGACCTCTCACCCTTATCCTTCTCCTTGCGCAAGGGGCCCACAGCAACCGGCAACGACCACGCCTCTCCCCCCGGGCGGGAGTTGGATATCTTGCTGTACGGTTTCGCTAACTTGTCGGACGTGACGACGTTCGTGAACAGCTGCAGGGAGACAAGACAAGGACAAAAAACAAAAGAGTCGAGCGCGACCCAAGAAAAGGCGATTGTTACGGCACCGCTTGAGGAGACCACGGGCTAAAAACAGGCGAAAATGCCTGGGTTGAAAAGAACGTCGAGAGACCAGTTCACCTGAGGAAGTCGGCAGTTTGAAGAAAAGCAGACAAGGACAAAAGGTTCAGCAGCTACACCTGCCGCACACCAACACAACTTTCATGGGGCCTTTATTCCTTGCCGCTCCCTTCGCGATGCCTCTCTTCTCGCAACCGGAACAGTCTCTTTCTCCCTGCCTACTCAGCTAGCTACTCACATGTTGTCCTTGTGCCGGTGTCACCGTCGTTCAATATCGTTCTTGCCGTACACCCTCCACAACCCATGCAACTTATAATAACCACACACAACATATCAATAACTGCTGTCAGACACAACTCATAAACTGCCGTCAACAGTTATAATAACCACACACAACATATATAATAGCTGCTGTCAAACACAACTCATAAATGAACTGCAGTCAACAGTTATAATAACCACACAAACATATATAATAGCTGCTGTCAAACACAACTCATAAATGAACTGCCGTCAACACACAGCTTTCATCAACCTTTTCGGGTTCTGCGTCCTTGGATCCCCGCGTGAACCTGGTCTTGATCACGAAGCCCGGCAGGGGGTGCACCACCTCCTTCCCCTCGGGCACCCGGTTCTGACTCTCGAGCTCGGAAATATACAGCTCTTGTTCCTGCCGGCCGGCGGGGAGAAAACGAGACACAAACACGGGATGATGCAGGGTGTCGTTTGCAGCAAACACGCCTGGAGTCTCTCGGGATTGCAGCATCACAAACCCGCGCGGGACAATTGCCGCTGGCGGGGGAAAACCGTACGGGAGTATGGTGATCCAACTTGGTGCGGGTGGGAAATGGATCCGAACCAAAACCTGTTCTCAATCGCCATTGAGTACAAGCGCGCGTGGAAGCCATGAAGCGTGAGGAAGAGTACGGCCGTGGGGGGGGGACTCGGTTGTGCCGGTGTATGTGCCGGCAAATTCTACTGGCACTGCCGGTGAAGGGCCCAACCGGAGTATGTGCGGGACCTTTCTAGCCGGAGGATAGAACAGGGCTATTTGCGCCCCATCTTTCTCCGCGCAACCCTAGTAGTGTGGACAGTATGTCGTGTGTCCTGTGCTTGAAGGCGTCAGGATCACCCCAAAAACCCTACCGCTGCAGGTCCTACGAAATTGACCTATTTAGCCCCAAGTGGGCGAGATTGAGACGGACTTGGCAATAAAATCTCGGGAAAACAATCCATCCACGCGAAGGCAACGGGCGACAGCGGTGACCACCTCTCTCTCTCTCTCTCTCTCTCTCTCCGCTCACCGCTCGTTGCTTGGGGTCCTGCATCTCTTCCATGTAGTCCCTCAGCATGGCTTGGAACTCCGGCTCTCCCAGCGCCGTCTTGAACTTGGTGGCTTCCTGTCGGTCGACGGCAACGGACGAAGAGACGAAACGAGCAGAGGCAGAAGCACACGTGGCAAGCATAACCACCGGAACGTGTGCGACAACGAAAGGATCTGCTGCTCGAAAAGAGAGCGATGTCGTTTTCGCGACGGTATATGCTTGTTTATGCGCGCGTTGCCATTCTACACATATCGTTTCAATGGAAGCGCTCTGCTGGAAAGCGAGGGAGGGAGGGCGGGGGGTGATGGCAAATATAGAGCAAAATCTCACATGCCCCCCAACACGTCTAAAACTGGGGATGGATCGGGGATGCTGTTGCGATGCCGTCGCCCGTGAATACGCCTGGACAGGCAGGCACCGAACACCTCCGGTACCTGTAGGTGTCTTCATAGTGGCAACAGCGACTAAGGACCTGCCCAAGGCACACCAACCAAGCACCCACCTCTGATTGGGGTTGGGGATAGGGCTAGAGAGTTGGCGTTAGGATAGGGTCGGGCGCCCGTGGTTTAGGCAGAGAGCCGGAAACCCTTGCAGGCATGTTTGGGTGTGTGTCTTATCGTCAAGCAACTTGCTGTTGCGTTTTACCTCTGGTTGGGGTTTGGGGCTAACGTTTGAGGGATGGCGCTAGGTTAGGGTCGGGCGCCCGTGTTTTAGGTAGAGAACCGGAAACTCTAGGCATGTTTGTGTTCGTGTCTACCTCCAAGAAAAAACGTCAAGCTGATACATCCAATGGAGAAAGGTTCGTTGTCCTCTGCGTGCCTGTTGATGTTCACACCAGGTAATGTGTTCGAAGTGGCCACTTCGGCTTGTTGTTGTATCACAGGCGATAATTTTACAGTACGGAACACACTGAGCGCCACGACCTCTCTGCCCGAGAGGTTAATCAAGATTCAACCTCTCAATCGGTGCGTTCAACCCGCGGACTGAAGGAGAGCGTCGGTGGCCGGGTGGATTCCAGCCTCCCCGAAACAAGCGGAGCACTATATTCGATCGGCAGGAAAGCAGCGGGGACGACCTCCTTTGTATGCGCATGCACCTATTCAACATCAATCCACGCTCTCAACACTTGGGTTCATAGATTTCTGGTATACCACTACAGCAGTAGCTGTGTACTACACGCTGTGTACACAGCAGTACAGCAGTTTGGATACACACAATAGAAGCGACATGTTGTGAAACGGATTCCAGCTGGGAGCAAACCGGCGTGTTTATCAGCTTTGAGCATTGAAAGTGGTGGGGCAACCGAAAGATACCCGGAGAACGCCACAAACAGCAAAGATGAATCAACAATCAGCTTGTGCACAGCAGGACATGTAACGTCCTACGTTGGATACAACGCACTGCTGTTGTGTAAGGTACGTAACCGGTATATCTCCTCTTCCCTGCGCCTCCTAATCGGTCTCTTTCGACGGTAGGCGATCAAACTCTTACTCTTACCTCAGGAGTGATTTCGAAGTCCCTCGTAGGGCCTCCGTCCCTGAGGATGTCATCAAAACTTTTCTGCATCGTCTCTCCGTCCATTGCTACAGGCGTGTGAGCCTCGACCCTCAACTGTCCACCCTAGGTTGGGGTTGCTAACTCTGTGCCAACGGTGTATGATGCTCCCCACACACATGAAATACTTGGGGCGTCACTGACGGGACAAAGTGTGGCTGGCGGGGAGGGGTGGGGGCTCCGTGTGCAGAGGCTACCACAGGCAGCCACAACACCGGCACATCGGGTCACGACACCGACAGACAGCATGGCGATCTGGAAGAGGTTTACCGGAGCAGTAGACTCAAGCGCTCAGTCGTTTTTGAAAAACAAGAAGTTCAGCAGGTGAGAGCACCTCCTCCCGCAGCACGAAGAATCGCTGTTCCCGGTAGATAACACCCCCCCCCTGAGTTATACCAAGAAGATACCGCCGCCAGCATGCCCCTTAGATATGATCAAAGTACACCGTGGAAGTACACGTGGGCACGTCAACAGCACTGCAGCATGTATTTGGCTTACAGCAGTTGTAGTTGACTGAATAGAGCCATTCATTTTCGCACAATCTCGATGAACGGAACACACATGCAGTAAATCCAGCACAGAGTAGTGGCAGTTGTATGCATACTTGTACGCTGTACTCTGCTTGCTGCTGCTGTCGAGTCGTGGATGAAGTACTGCAACAAAACCATACCCACACAAGTTGAACGTTTTCTTAACGTTCGAGAAGTCATTGCCGAGTTGTGTATTGCGGCTTTGTCATTGCACATGAAAATCTGTCGCCCTTTCGGGGTGGCATCAGTACATCAGAACGCACGGCGAGGTGTGCGATCGATGTTAGCTCCTACGGAGGTGATGTGTCTGAGAGAGCGATTATGATGTGCCGTTTCGCCGCGGTTCGTTCCTCCTGCCGCTATCTGCTGATCTTGTCGCAGGGAAAAGAGAAAGTTCACGTGGGATTGGCACGCGTGGAACTTGGCGTTTGTGTCGACCCCGTCCTTGGTGCTAGCCTACTACCTTCACGGTGTAGAGAAGCAAATGCTGGAGGACGCGGCCATCCGGGAAGAGATCCAGGAGCGCACGGGTGTCAGTAGCCGCGGCTTCTTGATACCAAAGAAGGAGGTTCGGGAAGAGGTGCTGGGTATGCTGAGTGCTGGAAACCAGCCCGGAAACGCGGGCGGCGAGGGCGGTGCCGGAGAGGTAAGTTGATCGCCCACTCGGTTGTTCTAGGCAGCACTGCTGTCTTTTGGTCTTTTCGCATGTCCGTGTTGCTGCATCGTTTGAGCGCCGGAGGAACGACGTGACACATCTTTGCGGTGTGTGGTTTGCCGAACCTGTGAAGTCTAGTCCATGTGCGGGTTGAGGATGGTGGTCGTCTCTGCCATAACGCGTGTGAAACCTTAGTATTGCGCGGAGGATCAAAACGCCGGAGGACTGCAGACCTCGACGTGCGACGCAACACCGATCGATTTGCTTCGTCTTTCTGTTGCTCTTTCTTGACGCCGACTCGCGACAGGCCCCCCGAATGACACCTTGAACTCTACCATACCTGTCGCTTTCCTTGGTGTTTTCCAATCAATCCGCCAGCAGCAGCTCGGCCATGAACGACACGTGCCGGCGGATAGTGAATCCATCGAGGGCAGACTGGCCACCATCGAGAGGATGCTTAGCATGCAGGGCGGCTCCAGCTCATCAACACCAGGGGCTGGCATCGACAACGGATCAGGTAATGACGCTGAGACGTGACAGGCGAAAATGAAGGGGCCATCATGGTGTTTGATACGCGCTCAAAGAGTCTAGGCTCGAATGCTGTCCAACCCCCATACATTTTGACACTTTCCGTCAACATCGCTCGTGAAAAAATTCGTTTCCAAGCGGCAGGACCAATGACGGACTCCACGCTCAGCGGCACCTCTGGTTCTGGCCAAGGGAAAAGAGTCCACAGCGCTAGAAACGCAGCGAGCAAGGCGGACAGCAGCTCTGGTGCCGAAGTGTCAACTTTAGATAGGGCAATAGAAACAGTGTCAGCAGCGGGTAGCTGGTTGCTTCAAACCGGCGAGGCGCAAGGCAAGCGCCTCTTGCAGACCGGTCGGAGTTGGATGGCTGAAGATGAGCGTCAAGAAGACGCAACCCCCTCGGAAAAACCCGGGTCGAGAAAAATCGGAACCGGGCACCAAGAGCCAGGAGCAAACCATGCGGACGTACGTAGACGAGAAGATCTAGCAGCAAAGGCGCTTGCAGAGAGGGTGGCCAATAGTAGTGCTGGCAGCACGGGCGAAGAGTCTGCGTTGGTGGAAAGCGATAGCAAGGGGAGCCATAGTGGGGCTTGGCGTCGAGGGAAGTTGGATGAAAACGACGGTGTACGATGACACGCGTCCTTCGCTATTTTTCCGCAGTCGTTGTGCTGTTGGGTGTTTTCGATTTCGCCTCCGCGTGCTGCTTCGATTGGGCTATATGGGGTGCATTCGTGTGCCAACACTTCCAAGGCCAGCACATGTCAATAATCATGAATTTGACTACATGCCAGATCATCTATTCTAAACAACCGACAAAGCAGGACCACCATCCGTGCCATCCAGATGCACGCCCGATTCCATCCTACGAAAGTCAGAGAGCAAACACCACTGCACATCGGGCAACGCAATAAAGCTACGGTGATACAGCAAAGTCATTTGCTCCACGATTTCTCTTTCTGGAGGTCCCCTTCGCCGCTCCCGCACCCCTCGTCCCGCCTTCTTTCGTGGCTAGCGAGGACCCGCCAACTTGAACGTCCCGGGCCTCCAGCCGTGTGTTCCTCAAGCAAAAAAACGCCACTTTTGGGGTCTCCTTTTTCGCGACGACCATGAATCCAATTCGCGAGAGGGTTTCCAAGAAAGACTCTCGCGTAGTCCGTGTGCTCTTCGTGAGGCAGAGGAGGGGGAGAACGAGGAAGAGGTGCCCGCCGTTGCGAAGGTGACTTCGGTACCCCACCAGCATCTCGTGCCTGCCCTTGGCCGTCGGGACACAGTTGATCACCATGCTGCGTCGGTCAAGAGGAAACAGCCAGACGTCCACAACACGTCGCACGTGCAAAGATGCATTGAAACCAATTCTTCCACATGCGATGACCGGATGCGCTCCCTCAAAATCAAGCTACCGCACTTACAATGAGCAGCATAGTACCCCAACCCAGCGGCAGCAGTAGGGGCATGGTATATCGCAAGTGAACATGCGCAGGGCAGGTGTACACGCCAAAAATCCAAGTCTCATCAGACACGGGCGTGCCACCTGCACTTGGTCACTCCAAGGCATGCTTTCTTTCACCTTGAAGAAACCACATCGTATTCTCCCGCTGGCTCCAAAGAGAAGAAGTCGCGCTCCTCGATCCGTGGGTGCTGCGACTTGAGGTCGATCGCCCTCACGTCCAACCACGGCACGTCCAACAGACGAGTGTTGATGGCACCCACCTGACCCAAAACGCGAGCAACCGATTCGACGAAAACTTCAGCAGCATCCGACGGCGGGTGGGGGAACGGGGCTACACTCTCGGTACTTTTCCACGTCTGTTGTCCATTTTAACCCTGTGGCGGCACGTCCAGAACCGAGACGGACCAGAAGGAAGGGCGGTTCTCGACGATGGGGCAGGGGCCCGGGAAGATTGGTCGGAACAACCTAGAAGCTATTAAGCATTTGTTCTAGTCGCATAATGACCTGAATACAGCCGGCTCTTCGTCCGGAAGTATTCTTCTACAAGTAGTCTCATAATGACCTGAATACAGGCTGTCTGTCCCAAAAACACCAGGGCATCTATTTCTGCTGTTGTACATCTGCCTCATCACCTCAAGCACCCGCAGTGGCGGTTCTCCGTTGGCCGGCCGTAAGCCCATCTTGCCCGCGAGCTGCTTCGTAACCCACTTTGAAGTGTTGTGAAAGCTGACGCTTAGCAAGCTCGCGCTCTGGTAAGCCTGCCTCCCTCCCATTTCGTCCAGTTCGCGCTCTAATCGCTCAAGCCGTGCCTGTTTGTCGGGGGCAGTGCTCGACGACACCTCGTCGGCCTCCTTCTCTAGCTTGTGGAAGGTGGTGACGATCTGCCTCGCTTTTTTCCTCGATCGGATGGCCGGCGGGACCTGGTGCGGCGTTTTGGAGAGAGTAACATATATGGGAGATCGGGAATGTTTGGCGTGGCCAGGGATGGGTGTGTCGGCGTTTAGCTACACAAGACCTAGAGTAGGTGGATGGTCGATCCCTTCACTACGTTGTACGGGCGGAACCAAACTGCATGTAGAATACATAGGCGCAAAGCTGAACAGGCGAGTGTGTGAACAAAAGCATCACCAGCGAGGTTCAGTCCACTGCCTCCACAACAAATACAGCAAATATGCTCTTACCAAGGGGATTGGTTTTCTCTTGGTGGCCTTGCGCTTCATCCTTGTTGGCCCGCCCGCTGCTGTTGGAGCACGCCGGGCTGCGGGGGGAAGTCCAAACCAAAAAAAAAGAGTCAGTGCTCTCGTCTTCTGCAAAGCAGGAAAGAGAAGGGGGCTGCGGATGACGTGACACACGCAAGCGGGAGGATAGACACCACAGCAGGTACCCCCGAAGCTTGGTTCGTGTCAGGGGATACGAGGGCCTGAATGCGTGTTTGCGTGCACGCTTCCTAAGGCACGGCGAGGTCAAGGGGACGCACGGATAGGATTGTTACGGACACGTTAAATATCGTACTGCTGGTCGGCGGCCCCCTCCTGTGCAGCCAAGTGACAAGCAGTTCATGCAAGTGACCGTGCGTGCATTAGCGCACAGCAGGGCAGCAGCAGCCAGGCAGGAGATACTCGCTCACTACTGGCATGTTGAACCATGCCGACTATGGGAGGACCTCTGAGTTTGTCGGGCCAGGGGTTGTTGGGAGGGAAGTAGCACCACAGACCGAAATGGACGCTGACGACAAGTTGGAAAATATGACTGCGGAGGAGGAACCCGGCTACGGCCTTGGTCTGCCGGGCCTGGCCTCGCTTGCGCTGCCATCGGACGGCATGGTTGTACCTCCTCTCAACTTCTCCATGGTGAGTTTGTCCGTGATAGCAATAGTCCTCGTATTTTGGGCGCGAGCGTGAAGTATTTATCTTCGACGCCCTCGTCTCTGACGACGGCAGCTTGCTGCACCAGTCCCTGCAGCAGAGCGATACTGAAAGTTGGGACCTTCAAGAAGCAGGGTCCTACAGCGTGGTAACAGAGAGCTCGTCTGTCTCCTAAGCTGGTATGTAACCAGTTCAAACTGTAGGCAACACAGCAGTCCGAAACACCAGGCTGCCAACTCCAGCAAAGATATGGTCGCTGGAGAAACGTGTGTCACGCAGTTTCATTTTCTTCGAAAGAGCCAGCGCTGGCAACCGAATAACCCCGGAAAGATCGCGCGAATGAGTGGTCTCGGCGTAGGTCATGGATTCGAACCCTGGATACTCAAGGGGGGAAGACCGCAGTATGTCACTTCGTTTTGCTTAGTGACAGGCGTGCTCCAACAGAGTCGTAAAATCTACAAGTATTTTTTTCGTAGTGTGTGTACGCTTTTGTAAACGGTGCGGTGCTGTCGCTGCCCCTTGTGTCGAAGAACAGCGTATCAGAGGGGGGAGGAATTAGAAATTGGTATTTCTTGGAGTTAGAAGGAGGCATTTATACTATGTGACGAAGAGGAGATCTGCGTGCTTGTATGAGACAGACGTACGCAGGTCAGTCCTACAGTCAAGTTTTACCACGTCGGCGCATCAGGGCTAGGAGGAGCACCGGGATAGCTAAAAGTCGAAGGGGCCAACACTGCAGTTGCTGCTATACCTGTTGACCATTCTGTTCCCGAAGCTAGTGTTGTCGTCTCTTCGTCTACGCTGTGCTCCATGTGATTCGCTTGTAGACTCGTGTATGACGGCAGTAGAGTGTGCGTACTTGGGACACACCACTTCGGGAGCGATCGAGACAAATCAGTTGGAGCAGACACAGACGGCCATAGCGAAACACACAACATGCAACGGGAGAACGTAGGCACTACCTGCTGGCCCAGCTTTGCCAGTGAAGCAGAAATGCAGGGAGGACAAAAACCATAGGAGAGCAACAGCAGCGTTGGCAGCATATGATCAAAATTAGCCAGGAACGAAAAACGGGCCCGCGCTATACTCGTAGGCTGCAGGCCCCTCCATCAATTTCGCTCTCCCTTACGCGCATCCCACCGCCACTAATGATGTGGCATCACAATCGTGCACCATCGCTTGCCCAGGTATCAGAAGGCGTATTTAGAAGCGGCTACCCGATAGCTTGCAATTTTCCCTTCCTTCGTCGGCTGGGGCTGCAAAGTATTCTCTGCCTGTGCCCAGAGAGCGTGCTCCCTGGGTCACTAGAGTGGGCCAAGGAATCCGGAGTAAGCATGGAAATGTGCGATTTAGGAGAGAACAGCCCACCTTTCGTGTCCATGCCGCTCGCGGCCATGAGAAAAGCGGTGGACTATCTCTCTGGTGAGTGCAAGAACTAGAGTGTAGACAGCTGCCACGGCAGTATCCGCACGGCAATCGCGGCCAAGATCACTGCTTTTTGTTTTAGCCGTGTGTGTAGGGTCTTCGTAATAAGCGAGTGAATGTTACACACTTGTGCGAGAAGGTACTGCGTCCTGTTGATCGTCAACCACGGCGCCATGCTGCAGTTTTGCCTTTGCCTCAGCAACCACTGTTTGTGAATTGGTGTCCAAGCCATTCAGACTACGACCTACGACAACGAAGTACTTCACCCCTGCGGTGATCCTCACGACACCCATGTGCTCCCACCATTCCGTGTGCTATCTGCAGATTGTCGAAATCGACCAGTGCTGGTGCATTGCCTCACTGGGAAGACTCAAACAGGTTGCGCAATAGGCTGCCTCCGGCGAAGACAAAACTGGGCGCTGGGGGCTATCTTCGATGAGTACACGCGCTTCGCGGGACCGTCGGCAAAACCGTTGGATATGCAATTCATTGAACTGTTCGAGTGACTATTTAGCCCGCTGTCGCACATGCCTGGATGCGTGCAAAGACGGCAACGCAAGTGTTGGTCTGTTTCTGGACCAAACGACAAAGAAGTTTGCTTCCCTACATTTCACTCACACAAGCTCTACTGGTACCACTCTGCCCGGAGTTCTGCCGGCAGCGAGCCTCGCAAGCCGTGCTGACAAGCTTTCACGTCCTAACTCTTTGCTCTCTGTTTCTGGTTTCGCTCTCAGAAACGGAACAGCTGGAGGTTCGGGGTGGGTTAGTCCCGGGGCTTGAAATGAACTGATGACCGCGGGGCCACCATGAAGCTCTTGGTCGTCGCGGGTGGTGTGGCCACTGGCAGGACCATTGCGCGCTTGTACTCGCATGCGTTGTCTTGAGTTCGGGTTCCGATCTTGTGTAGGAAGTCTGTCACGAAGCATCTCGCCACCCTTTGCAGCCGGATAGGACCAGACATCTCCTGGCGGAAACTTGCTGGGGTCGTTGTTTAGCCGGGCGAAGTCAAGTGGTGGCACAACGGCTGGTGATGTCGACAGGTGGACGAACCGCGAGTCGACGAACGGCGCGGCCGTAGGTGACCGACCGTTGCCGTAAGCAGGCCCTCGGCGGGCTGGTGCTGTCATGGCTCGATGGTCGTCTTGGTCGGAATCCTTCCGCAATGATTGTTCACATTCGCCACACATATGAGAACGGCGGTAGGGCGGTGACGTTCACGCGTTAGAGGTCGACCTCGCGTGGTAGACGGTCTTGAGAAATTGTCTATAGTAGGAGCGAACACATAAACACTTAGACCTTCGTGCATTAGCAAAGAACATGTTAACCAACTCAGCGCGAGCAAAGGTCATCCAAGGGAGCCAACGATTAAACCACCCTGCTACCGCAGAGAAGGCTGGCTTGGGAGAGGTCTCCATCCTGCGAGGTGTTCACGTTCCACTTACCGTTGTTCTCCTGACGCTTGAAGCTGAACCGTCTCGGACCCGGCGCTGCTGTCCTGGGGGCGTCGGTAGTGATGAGAAGTCGCTGGCTGGCTCCGACTCGAGAAGTCTGCTTGCCTCTTCTCGAATCGAGTCAATTTCCTCTTTCGGGAGGTTGAAGAGGGTCCTGAGGAAACGAGGCCAGCCCCGCACCGGTGTTATGATGAGAGACGGCTGCTCTTCTGTGTGTTGTATCATCCCCTTGATATTTTAGTTCTGTGGGCCGCGACCAGCCAAGTATGATCTTGGGACTATTCTGCACCCCCTTGCGGATATCACCACTCTGTCGTGACTGCTTCGGGTCCCGGTCTGATGGTGTCCCTTGAACGACATGCTTTTGTTCCAGTCGGCGCTCACGTTCCGTGTAAACGTGTATCCAATCGAGCCTCGCAACCTCTACTACTGAATACATGTTGTTTAGTACACATACTGCAGCTAGCTCTTCATGCAGACCTGAGAGGCACGTTTCCGTCGTGGGGGTCGTCCCACGCATCTCCGTAGATAGATCTGCCCCGCGCATCCCATCGCTCTTGCGCGCCGTGGAGCAAACGGCCTGCACCCTTGCGCGCCGTAAGGACCAGCCGATTGTGCCTGTGGATTCGAGCGCGCTCCTTCAATCTCTGTGCCTTCTCCTCTAGTAGTGCCTGTTATGGTTGCAGAGAGCGCCGAGAAGTCACACGTGCGCTATACTCACGGCATCGAGCACAGTATCTTAGACGGCCACATAGATGTGCATAGAAAGTCCGTGGCTCGACACGTTCGCAATTCAACCTACTTGGTCGACGATCGAATCCTCTGCAACCTACTGTACCATTTGTATGTTGTATTAGGAAAAACAATTACACACACATAGACTTGTATGTGGTAGCCACAATTAGTCTGTAGCAAGGTTTTTGTTGACGTCGCCACATGGACATCATTCAGCGCACCTGCTGAACGTTGCTTCCCACAGTCTGGACGATGTAGTCTTTGCGAGAGTCGCAAAAGCTCTACTCTGGACCAAGTAGAGTTTTTCTCTAGCCTCGAACCATTGTGCATCAATTGAGTAAACGTTGCAGCGTGACACATGGAGCTCACCTCCTTCGCCATCTCTCGATTAATTCGTATCTGGCCGAGCTGTTCTGGGGAGAAAGCATTCGGCCTGGGTCTTCCTTGAAACAAAATACAGACCATCACCAGTACGGTCAACCCCACCACGATCACGACCGCTTGCATGAGGCCCGATTCCACCATGGCACCTCCACGGCGCCGGAAACCGCACCTATTACGTACCGAGCGCTCTTATCAAGAAAAAATAAATACACACACAGAAAGACTACCCATTCGAGATATACCCACACATGTTGTAGATCCACCCTGCCTGGTAGACGTGAAATTTATGTGCCTGTTCGTGTTCTTGAGAACCATCTCCGAGCGGGACAAGCCTCTCCGAAAGAAAGCCTTCCGGTTTGGCGATAATCTCACCGCCTCGGAATGTGAGAAGGTGCGACAACGTTCCCCTTCTCTCCCTCGGCTCCCAAGCTAGAGCGGCTTTGAGAAATCGGCACATCCTTGCGCCGGTACACATGACTGTGGACTCCCTGCAAGAAGCCTGGTGAATATTGTGGGTCAACCCAGCCTGGGTGGTGAGTACCAACTACTCAATCCGAGAGCAGGTTTTGAAGACCCTGGTTGCCGCTACGAACCACTCTATCGAATGAACAACGAATCACCACCACGTTGTTTGTACAAAGCAGCGCGCTGGTGCATGGTGCGGCCCTCCTGATGATGTTGTCTATCGCCCGCTCTCACGTGTGTGCCAACGATTTTTTTGGGCTGGAGTATTCCACCCCTCGTTACCACATGTGTGGGGTCCATGGCGTGTGTGGGTCTCGCCGACATTTTAGCGTCAGGGTGTCAGGTGTGTCCTTATTTTTTGTGTCTCTTCTGCCGGCCACGTTTGACGCCGACCGCCGTATGCACGCACAAGCCGGAGCCGAGCGCGGCCCGTTCTTCCTCCTGTAACTAAGAATAGACACACGCAACACCACCGCATCCTTGTGAACACTGCGGCAACCAGCGTTGAAGCCCACCCAGCACTACTACTAATGCCAATCTGTTGGTGTTTGTTGGTGTTGTAGCGTCCCCCGGGTCGCCTAGCGCCAACCCGTGTAGCCGGAGTCGCGTTCATGCAACTTGCATCTTGCCAGGTGCAGGATGGCTGTCGCCATGTCAAACTTCGGCTCTTTTGCACGCAAACCCGAAAATCAGCTGCTGTACACCTCCTCGCCATGCGGTAGACTGGTGTCTATGTCAAGGTATCTCGGATCCCTGCCGCTTGGTTGTTCTCTCGAAGTGTCGTATGTGTCTCCGCGTGGCTGGTGCTAATTATTTTGCTCAGAGACCTGGACTTTATTTGCGAGCGTATGTTGGATGCGGGCGCCCTTCATGATGATGAACCTCCCTCTTCGCAGCGAGCGAAAAGATGAAGACTTCGAAGTTGCCTGTATTTGCAAGCATACGACATCAAACAAGACTATCCGATCGAGTGATATTGCTGTAGTACAAAAGTTTGCCACAAGCGAGTCCTGGCTCTCTACACAAGATGCGTGCAATTAACTCCAAGAGGTTTTCAACTTCACAAACTTACGTACAGAGCGTATACCCATGGTTTTGTGTAGCAGCGGTTCACAGCAGTACGGCGGTTGCGAGCAAACTCGTTGACTTTTGCCTGCCAGCAGGCAACAGATTTGTTCAAGGACTGGTTCGCGCGCTCACTCCTGTCGCGTTGCCATGTCTCCCAGTCACTCCCGCTCGAAGCAAGCAGGAAGGTTTTAATCTTCGGCGGCCGCCGCTGGTGCTCTCGGGCCTTTGGGAAACATGCGCTGGATCGATACGGTCGCAAGTTATTTGCCGAGCCTGATCGTCAATCATCTCATCAAACGGTGAGAGCGCGGGCACGGGTAGTACAGATACACATGGCTCTATTTGCACTTGTACAAGAGTCCGTGCTTGGTCGCTACTTGTAATGTTTATAACTTTTCGCCGTAGAATACCACCGGTGGCTTGATTTTCTGAATACTACGAGTTCAAACGATGGTAATCGACCCGTGCGGCACAGCTGGTGGGACTACTACAGAACACGTTCTTGGGCACTTGGTCCCTACTATTTACTGGTACCCTGTGTACCATAGCCCCTTGCATCTGTTTTTTCGCCGTACTGTAAGGTACCGACGTTGCTTTTTACACCTCGCGTGTCGTCGTTCCGTGGACGGTACTGTACGGTCGACGAGGACGACGGCACTACTGCTGTACTTCAACTGTGATGTACAACGGTGGACGCGTTGGTTGCTGTCTACAGTCTACAGCCGGTAGCACCGTTAGCACCACACAAGGGATGGTGTGCATATTGTGCGAATACTGCTGTGCCAAGAATATAGGGGTGACGGAGCACAAGTTGGTTGGTACCTATGGGGTGTGCTGTCATCCAATTTTTTTTCTTGGCGGCGGTTTTTTACGCCTTCCGATACCATTTCTGGACGCATCAGCCGGGTCACACGGGACGAAGGCTACGCAGATGTTTTTCTCCGCCTTCCTTTCTGCGGTGGTGCTTGACAGTAATTTTTTAGTTGTATCACGCTCGAGGGGTACGACGAAATAATAATCCGAGCCTCGACCCGAGACTTGAAATCTCATAGCTGCGCGGACCCCTAATTTTCTGCGTAGCACAAATAGACGTGGAATTCTACGGTCTGTTCCACCGCTTACGAACTCCTTCGTTGTTTCAAGTATCCTACAACTATCTTTTTACAACACGCGCCGCCTAAAGGCGAGTGTTTCCCAAGAGCGTGGCTGCTCCCCTACCCGCACCTGTAAGTCCGATCTCCCCCCCCCTATATTTACACGTCGATCGCTTCGCCAGCACTACAAACGAGGAGCTCCCCAGCAGACAAGAGTATGACACGGTGTGCCTCTTCGCGGACGTGTCGGGCTTCACGGCCTTGTCGGAGGCGATGATGTCGTCCTCGGAGGGGGTGGAGGGGTTGGCGAAGCACCTCAACTCTTACTTCGGGCAGATGGTTCGCATCATCGCGTCGGAAGGCGGAGACGTGTTCAAGGTAAGGAACACCTTCGTTCACGTGTTTTGTTTTTGCTGCTGAACCGCCCAAGTGTTTGGGTGGGGCGCTGCTGGCTGGCGTGTTTGTTGATGCCGCTCCGCAACCGTGAGCTAAGTCTGTCGCCGGTGCTTGTCTGTCGCTGCAGTTGTTTCTTGGACCAAATACAAAAGGCCAAGAGTGTTTGCGAAGACGTTTGCGGTGTCCCCACCTGCCCGAAGGGTTGACACCGCTAAGGGGTGATCAACTCTCCAACGGTCTCTCTGCTGTCTTTGCGAGGTTGGCCTGCCTTCGTCTCTTGGCTCCATCTTGTTGAGCTCTCTCTCACCGTTGCAACATTTTTTTTTCGCCCGTCGTCGCTGCTGTGCCTCGTCTTTTGACCAGTTCGCCGGAGACGCGTTGATCGTCCTGTGGCCGCCCCCGACCAGGGAAGCACTGACGGACATCTCCATCAAGGGCCGGGAAAAAGAATCTGGCGAGGTATGTACACGACGGAAAGTGACTAATACATTCACTCACACGGCAGTACTATTTGTTTTAGTGTCTGGCGAGGTACATTCACTACGGATTGTGAATCCATTGACTCATTCGACAGTACTACTAGTGTGGGGCAGCACCATCGACCCGAGTAGAGTCTTCGACGGCAGTACTATTATTGCAGGGCAGCACCATCAACCTCGAGTGGAGGCTGGGGTGGATGCACTACCCGCAGAGGGTGCGGACCTGTCGGTACTGCTCCAGAGGGGTTAAGAAGTCACCCCCAGGCCGGCCGCGTTGAGCGTGTGGTCTCGTCACACTTGCAGTCACCTTGTCCCGAGGCGGGCAGGGGGCTCGAGCATGGAAGACTTTACCTGCGCAGTCGCGGCCCTCAGCGGAGCTCGGCATTGCTTTAGAAGCCCGTGTTTTGGCACAACACGTTCGTGAGAGGCCTAGGCAGAACTAGCTATACACATGCCCTGGTTTTCTGCGGCGCAACCTTGTGATACGTGCTTCGTAGACCCCAATAATCCGTATTCCTCCTGCTCTCCGGTTTTGCTTTTTGAATCCGATGGCCAATCGACGGACGTCTTTGATACGCGATCCTTCTCCGCGGGGGCAGCGGGAGGGCACGACCCCGATGGAGCGGAGGGTGCGGCGAGCGGCCCAGTGCGCCTTCGCGATACAGGAGTCGCTGCACGACGCGGAGCTCACCCAGGAAGTGCGCCTGAGCGTCAAGATCGGGATCGGCATGGGGCAGGTTTCGGTGCTGCACCTCGGCGGAGTGTACAAGCGCATGGAGTACATCGCGGTCGGCGAGCCGCTCCTGGAGGCCTTCACGGCGGAGCACCACGCTACCGCGGGAGATGTGAGTTTGGGGGCGGGGGGGGGGGGGAGGGAAAAGGGGAAGGGG